CTTCCAAAGACTGATGCCATGCTGAATTTAACCATTCAGCACATGACCTTGAAAAAGCTTCCTAATATTTCAGTTACAGGAAGAAAAACCCTTGTGCTACTGAATTATATCCCAATGCTTTAGATAGTAGCATTTTTACTCCTCAGACTTAAAAAAAAAAAAAAAGAAAAAGAAAAAAGGAAAGAAATCATAGCTATCTTACTAGCAAGATAGCAAATGTATTCATTTTCTAAAGCAATCTAAAGCTGTCATGAGGTAATGTACTCTCTGGGGCTTATCTTTTCACTTGTATCAAGTATTAGGGCCAAAATGCCAATTCATTTTAGAGTTAAGCTTACTCTAGTTGAAAGCAGCCTTGGTAATGAACATTATCATTGACTGTAAAAATGCCTCACCCTATGCATATCAATATCGGCTAACACAATTGTTAGAATAAGAAAAAAAGTTATCAACATTTTTTATAACCATACAATAAACAAGATGTAGATTATTTTTATTTCTTAAGTAAAACCTTAGCTATACAGCTTATTTCTAACACAAAGGTGGGCTGCCTTATAATAATGGGTAGGTGTCTCGGGAAAGTCTGCTTGTTTTACTATTGCTAGTAGACTTCTCTTTCTGCTGGACACAAGACAGATACAATACAGTATGAACACACATGTAAGTAAATATAGAATTTTGGATGTACACAATTTGGCAAGTTATTCCAAGTAAACTTTCAGACTGATCATAAATTTTGCACACTACATAGTTGTCTCTGGTGTACAAATTCATCTTTCTCACTAGAGATTTTAAAGGAAATGGATCCTCCTCACCAAGAACACTTCATTTATGAGCAGGCAAAGCATCATAAAAAGAATGGTAACCTAATGAAAGACCACTTAGTCTCCTCCCTTCCCATCTCCCCTTTTGCAACAAACCTCGATCAACTTATTGAGCTTCTCCTATACAACTTTGGAAGCCAAATGAGCTGTGACATGGAAACTCATTAAAAAAAGAAAACTCAGTTAAAAAAAACACCCCCACAACACCTTTTGACGGCTGAAGCTTGAACAGAAAGAGCTGATGTTTTTGACAGAATGCTATCGTAGGCTGTTACTGCACTTTCTCTCCAGTAACATGTTCTGGCCGAGAAACACGTTACACGTCTCCTACTCCAGCTCTCAGCTGCTACAAAAGGGATTTCACCACTTGGAAATACCTTGCATATCTATGTGAGCTGCCTTCCAGTTGACATGACTGAATAGTCGCAACCATCTTAACACAGTATATTTATCTCTCTCTGAAGCTTTTAGAAAGATTATCTAGCAACAGAGGCAACATACACATCTGTCCTCTCAAAGATGACTTCTCATAGATAACAATTATGTCTGCATGTTTAGAGGGATAAGAACCGACAAAGAAACAACCAAATCTTAAATCCTGCAGAAAATGGCCCTGCAGAAAGCGCATCCTCATTAAAGAAAGTTTTCCTTTATAGCTGACAAAAAAAAGTTCTCCTCTAACTTTATGGCTGAGTAAATTTTTTGCACTGCAAACATTAGTTAATGCAGTAAGGCTGTAACAAAAATAGGCCAATAATTTGTAAAAGAGCAGTTAAGGGGGAACACCTACCATAGATAAAGATCCCATTGTGTTAGGCTGCATATCATGGCATTTATAGCTTGACTGCAAATGCAAGTGTGGAGAGTCTTGAGCTTTCCCTCCTCCCCCCGTCTTTTCTTAAATTGGCAGTGTTTTGCAGCATATATTAAGGATTTCTTAAAATTACTAGTTCTTATCTTTTACAAGATCCTCAAAAAGCTGCAGAATGTATAAGCAATATGGCAAGTGTTACTCTAGTAAGAAAGAATAGGTAAGTGAAGTCAAGTTACTGGGTCAGAAAAATTCAAACTTAATTATCTTAATCTTATATGTTACTATTAACTGTGGTTTGAGTTCAGGCTTGACAATCAACGACTCAGCACTTACCAATATAACAAAAGGACAGCAAGCAGCATGCTACTTGGTAGAGAGTACAAAGGCGTCTTTCTGCCTGTCTGCTTTCTAGTCAGCTTATTCTTCCAATCACCTAAGAAATTTATTGCAATCTCCAAGAAAAAAAAGGTGTTCTGCAGATAGGCTGAAATACAGTTCAGCATATACCGAGACAATGGACATAAGACAATTGAGTCCATTCTCTGAAAAACACTACTTACATTTATTTTATTTTTATAAAATATCTTCAAGCAAACTAAATTGGCAAAAAGCATTACAGGTTAAAACAGACATTCGCCCTCACCCCCCACCAAAAAAAATAATTTGAACAACATAGGCCTTTTTGCTCATTATATAGGAACTGCGTAAGGGATAGCTGCATCAAGTAATCTTAAGGTTAACAGACACTAAAATAACAATTTCATACATTGGGCATACACATACCATATGTTGATGAACATGTGCATGCATGTAAATACATGATAAAAGCAGTTATGAACATTCTGTAGACCTCTACATTTATTTTTTTTTTTAATCTTTTGGCTGGTGACATCGAGTTGCTAAGACTTTTCAACTAATATGTGCAGCTCAAGTAACTGGGTCCTCTGAAACAAGCATTACAAGTTCTACCTATTCACTTAGCATTTCTGGATGAAAAAAAACAGCCCGATTAAAATCAAAGGCCAACTCCTATTGACTTAAGTGGCTTAATACGCTCTAAAATCCACAGCTCCAATTTTGCCCTCCTTTATAGTAATGAAAATCCTAAATAATTGCTCTGAAGTCAGTACACATTCATAGGATAAAGATGAAAAGAGCATGAGGGTCGTTTTATTTTATAGCTTAGCTTGATACTTGTGTGACTGATTAACTCCAGTGTCACAGACAAAGAACATAAGTGCCTTTGACTTGTATGTTTATGTAAAATAATGAAAAATCTGGGATATCAAATTGACCCATGATAAAATTGCATCATGAAAGACTGATTGTGAAAGTTTTTCATATTTTATAATACGTTATGAGTGAAAGGATTCTGGAAAAACTGTTAAGAAGACCAAGAAAGATAAGCTCAAATACTGTGCCAAAAGAATCTGAGGCTTTAATCAAGAGATAAATTAATGCCTTACTTTTACAAGAAATAAAAACTAATTAATGGCAACAATGTAAAAAGACAGCTATTTAAAAAAAAAAACCCACAGAAAAATCTGGTCAAGTATGCAATGGTCATTGGTATGTGTATGGTACGTTTGCCTCTTTGTGGCACACCTTCCAGGCACTCTGCTACATCTCCCGTTTTGGGAGAATTAACAGTCTCTTCTGTTAGCCATACAGCATGGGCAGTACTCGGACACCACAAAATTATTGGTCTTAACCCTCCTCTGCTCCCATGGTCCTGTGCCAACTTGGAAAATGGCCTTTAATCATTTAGTACTTTGTTTCTTTTGAACCATTAGCAAATCCACCAATTAAATGGATTTGGAATTCAGAGTAGTGTAAACCTGATATTCCTATGTACAACTAAAAGGAGTATTCCACTGCAAGCCAAGCTTGGGTTTATACCATCTACAGTTCAGTAAAAAAGAAAATCCTTTTCCCTTTTCTCAAACAGCTGAGGGAAAATAAATGTTTTGCTTGCCTTGCGGGGGGTGGGGGGGAAAAAAATCCTTCTTTCAGATTTCACGGACACTTTCATGCTCAAGTTCTCATTGCAGAAGTACATTCTGGTTGGCCTGTAGTACTATTTTATTAGGACCAAATGCAGTAGCTTTCCTCAACTATCACTAGCATCAACTCAGACAACTAACATGATCTCATAAGGACTTCTCATTTTTCCCTGTGTTCACATTTTAGAAAACAAATGCTTTAGAGTTTAACCAATTCTACTGCAGAACTTCTCCCTGCATAATTGATAATAAAAGTAAATGGAAATTATACAGAAAAGTTAATTTCCCCCTTTGCATTTTCCTATTTTCAGGCAGGCTTTTTTTCTCCTAAAAACCTGTTAAAAATGTCATACACACTTGTGCAAGCAACAGCCAAAAACCACGTGTTCGCTAAGCTTCAATATGCCACTAAACCTTGGCTTTCCACAAGAAAAAAAAAATTAAAAAAAAAAAATAATCAGACACCAGATTCTGATGCATTACCAGGGTTTAAAAGCATCTGGATTCTTTCAACATACACACGGGCCACATGTTCCTGCAACCACAAGGCACAAAGTTCACACAGGCCTTCTGGCTCCTAACACCAAGCTGAGACTCCTTACACAGGCTTTTGACTGCAACAGGTGCAGCTAACAGAAAAAAAAAAAAAAAAAACACAAAAAAAACCCAAAACAAAAAAACCCAAAACTCCTAGTAAGATTAATTCAGGCTTCGAAGTCTGCCTTAAAGAAAAGCCTACTCCCAAGCGTCATAAAAAGCAAAAACACCCAAGCACCGAATACCACCGTGGGGGAAGCGTGAGGAGATTCGTACTCCCAAGGCGGAAAGTGCCTGTTCTGCAGCCTGCCCTGCCGCAGGGCAGCAGGAGGAGCCCCAGAAGGTCCCGCTTAACAGGGCCACGAAGATTCAATAAATAAACCTGCGGAGGAGCGCCAGGACCGCCCGGCTCAGCGCAGGCCGCCTCAGGAGGAGGCTCAAGCCCCGCCGCCC